TCATCCCCGGCCTCTAGGTAAGCAGGAGCCTCTGGACCAAGGAGGCCCTGGGCACTGATCAGTTTAATTGCTTTGCTTTCTTCAAAAATAGCCTTCTCCTCTCTGATAACTATTTTCCTTTAAAACTGTCCAAATGTCCCCAGGGTTATTTAAGGGCAGAGGTCTAGTCACAGGCTGATGGTGACATTCATCCCTATGCTGGAAAGTAAGGACAGAGGTGTCCAACAGGACTGGCCCAGACAGAGCCTCTAAATAGCACTGTGTGTGCATGGTGGTGGTGGTGGCAGTGGTGATGATGATGAAGAGGAAACTTTAGGACCAAGAGTAGTGACTCCTCTTTTGAAATGACCATTTCAAGAAAAAAGATCCAGTGTTGGGGAGTATTTACAGAGCTGGTGGAGTTGACTTTCTGAGACAGGGGCTTATAGAGTGTTGAACAAGAAGCCTAGATTCAAGTCCCCTGGTTACTTTTTTCACTGGCTGGGTGGCCTTAAATAAGTCATTTATCTTTGCTGATCCTCAGCTTTTTTATCTATAAAATGGGACCAACAATGTCAGGATCAAGGATATAAAAACTGTCTTTGTTCACTTAAAATCCTGTATAAAAGGGGAAGGAGTGAGGATCGAGGAGAGGGTGTGACTAGCTCAGGGTGACACAGTCTTACCATGGGAATAAGTACCAAAGGTATCTCTATGCATAGGTCTTTAGAGTTAGATTGGGTTCCAGTTCTGGCTTTGTTCTATTAATCAGTTATTTTGCCTCTCTGAGCCTCTGTGTCCTTATCTAAAATACCTCCTTGGGGCTGTTGTGAGAATTAACTAATGAGAGTTATGTAAATGCTCTGACTCATTGTTGGTGTTCAGTAATTAGAAGCTATTCTTACTGGGATGGCCCTCTTGGGGTGTCATTTACCTAAACTTCAGGAGTGGAGTTACCTTTTAAGGCTTTTCTACCTTTACAAAGTCTTGTCACTTAACCCCATATTTAGGCTTAACTCTTGTCTTCTAAAACATAGCTTCAGTGTAAAATGTTTCAGCTGGGAAAAATAAATGACTTGTTTTTGCCAAATTTCTTCTATTCCTCTTAGCCTGGAGAAGCTAGCCCATTCCTTTGAACTGTAAATTGCATTTCAAAGTCAGTGTCCCTAGTGGGTATTAATTAGCTTAGGGACCCAACTTTTCTGCAGCAGTTGTTTTTCCAGCAGGTAAAGGTGTAGATACTGACTTGGGAGCCAGTCCCTGACTTTCTCAAACATAGCATATATAGATGGACCCTTCTTAGCTCTTCATTGTCCTGAGGGCTTGTCTCGTACCTGGCCCAAAGGAAAAATGGAATATAAGGACCCTAGACTTACCTAAGTCAGAGGACCCATAGGGTTCTTGGCCCTACTACTCACTGGCCAATTCCATTTCTTTTTGTTCCTCAGAGTGGGGGCATATAAACTTAATGCTCACTAAGGTCCCTGCTAATCTGACATTACAAGAGTCTCTGGGAACAAGTCTGGTTCTCTCTCCTTCCCGTTTTACCTCCTTTTCTTACTACCGTCACCAAGAACAGTCCCTCTACCCATCTTTCCTTAGCACATTGCTAAACATGGGACCTCTTGGGGACTGCAGACACCTTGCTCTCAATTACACAGCTAATCTGTGAGGCAGAGCTTAGCCCAGGGGGGAAATAGCTTATCAAGTCAAGCAGCTTCTGCTGAATAGAATGTCAATATTTTCTAGGGCTCCTACTCTAAGCAAGGGAGAAGAAGCTTGGAAGAGCCAAAAAAGAATTATGTGGGAAAGATCGAGTTGGGGTAGTTGGTCTGTAGAGGGAGATGCTTGGGTCAGAGACCAGAAAAAGTGTCTGGGACCTCAGCTCCCAGTCATCTCCCCCCAACTTAAGGCAGGACCACAGCCAGCCCTTCTCACCTCACCTCCTAGTACATTATCCTCACTTCTTTATCCCTAACTCTTACTGAGCACTTAATTGTGCCCCAGCCTTTGTCAGGCCTGTCTCTTAATGTTGTAAGGCAGAGTGAGAGTATAGATGGAGACCCACCTACCATATGTCTAAATATTTGAAAGTTATAATGAAGCCAACAAATTGCTGTGTTAGTAACAACCTGAATGACCATGTCTGAGTTTAGAATTCTTGACTCTTTGGGAATTCTGTATCTGAACCTAGAAGTTCTGGGAGAGTTAGTCTAGCCATGCTTCCCGTTCATTTTCCACCCCCAACTCCATTCCTCCCTCTGAGGAACTTCATGGACATGTGTGTGGACACTTGAGCTTTTCCATGAGCCCACAGATACCTGTCCTTTTGAATTTAGAGGGTACACCCGATAGCAGCACAGGCTGCTTCCATGAGTATGCAGGCCTTGAAAACAGATCGGAGGCTATTTAGGTGGGGGAATACAGTGGTTGGGTGCTCAGAGTATGCTTCAGGTGGACATTTCTCCACCTTGGCTTTGCAGATTCCTCACCCACAGTGATCACATACATACACTTCCCAAGTCTTCTCTCTACAGATCAGAAAGCCAACCTTCATGTGACATGGCTTTTGCGTGTCTCTCCTTGGTATCATTCAGAATGTGCTTTAGTCTGACATTGACCCTCATTTAGAGTGGGCCCATAACTGTCAGTGTTAGAGCTTTATAGTTTACAAAATCTTTTTATGTGCATTGTCCAAACCACAGGTGAGGAGAAAAGACTGGTTACTGCCAGGGCCAAAGCCGAAGGACTTGGCTCACCAGCCAGGCAGTGAGTACTGATCTCACTCGGCAAATGCTTCCTGCTTAGCGGTACTAGAAGCTTTTGGGGAGAGGTCTGAGGGAACCCAGGAACCTTCTTGTCCCTACCAGATCAGTGGCAGAGCCAGCGGTAAACAACAGATCTCTGAACCATAATCCCTCTCTCTCCTTTTTGTCTTGGTTCACACCTCAGGCCTAGTTGGTTCCCTTCAGCCAAACCAGGTAGCATCTCCCTGGGCCAAAATTTCATAGTTTTGCAATGAACCAAGAAGAGAGTTATCTGATTACCATGGGGGAGTCCCTCGAAGTTCTATATATCCATGGATGGATGAGGAATTAACCTTTTAGTAGTTTGTCATCCAAGTAGAAGGATGTCAGAGGAATGGGGAGCCTAAGGGAACCCACAAATATCGAGCATTTCCTGCTTGCATATGGACAGTGTATTGGGTGTTTTCATGAATCACTGTTACCAATCACTGTCCCTCACTACTTAATAAATGTTGATGATTGGATGGAAAGGGAAACTGAATAACCAGAAGAGTCTTGTCCCTCAGGCCAGTTCTAGAGCTGGCACCAACCCCTTTATCAGTAGCAGTGACCTCTCAGGCTTCCTTTACCTAAGATGGCACGCTTGACCTTCTTGTATCTGTGGAGCTACTACTGTAAGCCCACCCTAGCAGCAGGTTCACTAGGATGCTCGGGTCCAGCCTATGGTTCCCTTGTAAACAATGCCATCTGCTGGTCAGAACACGCCAGCTTCCAGTCTGGGAGAATGGAGAGAAAAGACCTCTTAACCCTAATGGGACAGAAGTTACAGATTTTCCAGCTTATATTTAAGTCTATTTCACTAAAAATAAGCCTCCTCTGCCCCAAAATATTAGGTAAATAGGTAGGAGTTTACAGTTAGCTTACACTGGTGAGAAGTTTTATACCTACAGCTTGGGGTCTTTAGCACCTCCTTAAATAGCTCTAGGGTGGGGTGTTGAGATAGGCATGCTATAAAAGGACGTTGCACCAACCCATGCCCAAGAGCAGGATTCTGGGCCAGGGAGTATAAATGCTAAGGCTTACTGACATTAGACCTTTCCTACTGAAATGGAGCCTCCTTTTCCCTTTTTCTCTGGAGGCTGTGCCAGATGTAACCTTATCCTTTGGTATGAAAGACTGGTGGAGTGTGGAGAGCAAAGAATAGATATGGTATCACCTCTAACAAAGAACAAGATTTTAGTGACTGTAAGATAGTTAACTCTAAAAAACTAATTTATTTAAAAACAATTCTCAGATAAATATGCTCACTTACTGTAGTATTTAAATTGGCTTCAGTGGCCCTGACTAGGTAGCTCAGTTGGTTAGAGCATCGTTCTGAAACACCAAGTTGCAGGTCAGAGCACATACAAGAATGAACCAATAAATGCACAAATGAGTGGAACAACAAAAATGATGTTTTCCTCTCTCTCTAAAAATTAAAATAAAATATATAAATTGACTTCAGCTCTGAGAAGGGTTAGTGATAAAGTTGAAAGAGAGACTTTAGGGACTAATTAACCTGGGATTGAATTCTCATTCCAGGCAAGTTAATGAACTTATTGAAGTCTGTTTCTGGTAAAATATGAATGGTAATAAGGATAATACTCATGGGTTCTTGGGAGAGGCATGCTCCAAAAGAGAGCTGCACCAAGTGAGCAGAAGACCAAGCCCACACTGAGTGGAGTGAGACTTATTTTCAAAATGGCGAATATATCAATAAAGACCATCCATGTCTGGATCCCACTGAGCAATTTTCATAATATGGTCTGATCTGTAGCAGATACTACTTGCAATTACCATGTGACTTTTTGGTCATAATACTACATCGAAGGAACAGAAGAGAAGCTATGGGAGGTCTTCAGATGTAGATCTTGTATGGGATGGTAACATTTGAGATGAGTATTAAAGATGGAGTGCTTAAAAGAATTGGAATTAAGCAGGCCAGAGTTCAAATCCCAGCCTTACCATTCACTAGCATTGTGACCTCTGAATGTGCGTTCCCTCTTTTGTCAAATATCCTGATTCTGCTTTGTTGGTACCAAGTGAGGGAACATATGCAAAGCCCCCTAGCATGAGTTCAGCGGCCAAAAAGATGAGCAGAAATGGGGACCTCGATGCTGTGGGTTGGGAGAGCATGTAGGAACACACAAAAAAATTCATTTAGCTAAGATGGGTCATGGGCAACCCTTGAGCCCAACCTGTGGACCCAGACTCACAGTGGCTTTCTCTCTTTAGGTGGCCACCATGTCCTTGAAGATCCAGACAAGCAACGTAACCAACAAGAATGACCCCAAGTCCATCAACTCTCGAGTCTTCATTGGAAACCTCAACACAGCTGTGGTGAAGAAGTCAGATGTGGAGACCATCTTCTCCAAGTATGGCCGTGTGGCCGGCTGTTCTGTGCACAAGGGCTATGCCTTTGTTCAGTATGCCAATGAGCGCCATGCCCGGGCGGCTGTGCTGGGAGAGAATGGGCGGGTGCTGGCCGGGCAGACCCTGGGTAAGCTCCTGGTAGTCTCCTGAGCAGGTGCTGGCCTTCACCCTCCCGCTCCCCTCTTAGTCCCTTTTATGTTGCTCCGCCACTACCCACAACCCACAACCCTCTCCCCCTTAGAGATGTTATAACTTAAATAGTTATACATTATATTTTATAAATTAAGTAGTTGCAGATCAGTCCCTTTGGGGAAGAGTTTTAGAAGCCTCTGAAAAATACTTTTGTCCTGTCCCTGCTTTCACAGTGACCCTTTTGTTCCACCATGTATCACCCCTCTACCCTCCTCCACTCACCACCCCCCAGTAAGTAACTATACTATTGTCTGTGTCCCTGAATTCTTTCTCTTTTTTTTCCTTTTTACTCAGCCCCTCCACCCTTCCCTGCCTACAGCTGTTAGCCTGCTTTCTACCTAGGAGCCCATCTCTGTTTTACTTGTTAGTTCATTTTGTTCATTAGATTCCACATATGAGTGAAATCATATGGTATTTGTCTTTCTCTGATGCACAGTGACTCTTAATGACAGGCTTATGATTCCAGTTAAAATGCAGATTCCCCAGAGACAGGAAACTAAGTGGACTAGCACAGCCTATTATGTTAAGCTACAGATGGCTTAGGTTAGAACCCTTTCTGAGAGCCAGGAGGAGGTGCCAGGAGCACAAGGTGAAAACAAGCAGGTGCCCTTGGCCTTGGTGTTATACACATGTGGCCATGCTGGTGGCCTGCCTAGGAGTGTGTACAACTTTGTATATGTGTATATACTTCTGTGTATATGTATATGTTTGAGAAGGGATATTTGCATATGTATTTCTGAGTATGTGGTATGTGGATATGATTGAATATGTGGAGAATATGAAGACATACACCTTAGTATGTATATATGTAGTGTATGTCAATATATGAGTATGTGAGCAAATATGAATATATTCATTTACCAAATACGTGTTGAGATCCTAACATGTGCCAAGTAAGCACTGCTCTAAGTGTGAATATGTTTGGTAGAATGTTTTTATGAATGTGTGTTAGCTGATTTGCATATGGACAGTTATGCATATGGTGTTGGAACCAAGTCTGAGTGTACTGGTTATTTGTGTGTGTGACTTTATTACCTGCATGTGTGAGAATGTGTGTGAGGATGTGTTGTCTGTTTGTGTTTACATGAATTTACTTGAAAATGCTTACGTGTGATGCACATGGTATATGTGTGAGCAATGTTTGTGACCTTGCACACACATCTGAATGTATATGATTACGTAAATAGGCATATCCATGTAATGTGTGAGTATGGGTCTAATGTGTGAGGTCCTCTGTTGGCTGTTTCAGTGAGTAAAGTTCATGTGTACATCATATATGCACATAAATCCTGCACATTTGCTTGAGGGTGGTATGTATGTGGGTGCCCTCTTGTCTTGCCAGCATCTGACTTTGCCTGTTCTCTTCATACAGACATCAACATGGCTGGCGAGCCCAAGCCTAACAGACCCAAGGGATTAAAGAGAGCAGCATCTGCCATTTACAGGTGGGGCACTCTGTCTCGTCTGTCTCTGTCTGTGGGGGATTGGCCCCTCTTTCCACAGGGGGAGTAGACACAGGTGGTGACGTTGTGCTGAGCCTAGAAATTGGGGAGGCGTTTGGATATGAGGGCCTGTGGAGAGTGGGTTGAGTGGCTGTCCCTAAGACCCGGCCCTCTCCCCTTTGTTTCCCCAGTGGCTACAGCTTTGACTATGATTACTACCGGGACGACTTCTATGACAGGTGAGCAGGGGAGGGGTGTGCCCAGGCATGAAACAGCCAAGCTGGAAGTGTGCTGAGAGATTGCTGGTGCAGCCCATTCAGTCATCAAAGTAGAACCTAAGCCCAGAGATGCAGACAGGCATTTGCCCAAGGCTGCTCTGCAAGTTGGTGGCAGAGCTGGGACTGGAGCCAAATTCTGCAGGTGTCCAGGCTAGAGTTTCCCCATCCTAGGCTGTCTCCCACTCTCTGACTGCCCTTCTTCCTCCTAAATCTGGGGTGAGGCTCAATGGAACTGGACAGCAAGCTGAAATACAAAATGGTACAGGGCTCAGCGAAGGGAGTTTGAGCCCTAATGCCTCTGCTGTTCCATCTCCTTATCATTCTGGGCTACCCAGCCAGCTGGAAGAAACCTCGGATCTCAGTCTGAGCCGCAGAAGCCCTTTAGAGGTCTGAATTAGTCCCTGGCAGGCTGCGGCCCACTCTCTACGCCCAAGCCTTCCCAGACCCCAGCCTTGAGGCTGAGGCCTCCACTTCATGGCCCTGGCCCCATTCCTGAGTGGAAATCGTGGTTGGGGCTGGCCCAGACTTCTCCCCACTTCTCTCTCTCCCTCCCTCTTGGCCTGCTCCAGGCTGTCCAAGAATAGAATCTCTCTGAGCCTCGGTTTTCTCACCTGTGAATGGTTTCAGGAGACAGGGCACTATAGTTTAAAGTGCCCTAGCCTGGGAGTCAGAATACCAGGGTGCTAATCTCAGCTCTGCCACTGAATGGATTTTGTGACTTTGGGTAAATTCCCTCCCAGTCTGTGAAAATGGGCTTGCACCAAATGATCCCTCAGGGCTCCTCCAGCTCTGGGATTCTGTGGTTCAGTGATTCTGACCAAGGCCAGAGCCGCCCCCTCCCCTTAGGGGAAGAAATGCAGTGTCTGGGACTGGATGCATTCCCAGAGATTGTCTGTCTCCAGCCATCACCAATCCAGGGTAGAGGCCCCCTGAACAAAGGAGTGCCAAAGCATGGAGCGTTGAATGCCCATTGATGACAGGTTTCCTGATTGTCATCAGGAAAGCAATCCCACAGTATATCCCCGTGGCTGCTGTTACCTGCAGAAAGGTAGTCGCAGCAGATGGGGTGGGAAAGACCCTTACTCAGCCTGCTGAGCTTCTGTGTGATCAGCAGGAAAAGAAGCCCTCCTGAAGAGGGCTGGGTGATGGCGTTGGGGGCAGGGACAGCGCATAGTCGGAGCAGAGGGGTCTGATTGAGTTGCCCAACCTTGATACTCTCCTGGGCCTCCTGCCCTCCATGTCTGAACTGGATTTGAAGGATGGAGTGACTGGGAGGGTCCAGAATGAGGAAAGAGTCTTATGCTTCTGAGGTCCTAGGTCCCCGAGTTGGGGGTCATGGTACCCTGGCCATTCACCAATCATACCTTCTAACATGGGTTTTTAACCACATTCTCTCATACTCTACCCTCACAGCAACCTGGGTGGGGTGGGGTGAGGGAAAAGAATTTGGGATAGCTGTCCTCATTAAGCAGATGGGAAAACTGAGGCTCAGGCAGGCTTAGAGACTGGCCCTCTACGTCCCACCTGGGGGTTCATGCTGCTGAGATTTGCAAACTCTCACCAGGGGTTGAGGTGGCAGTTGATTGAACAGAAGCAAAGTCAGGAATAGAGCAGGTGTGGGTGTCAGGGTGATCTAGGGAAGGAAGGCTTTTTTGAAGCTGGTCTCAGTTTACTCCTCTGTTGAATCAGCCTGTAACCATTACCACCTGCCACTTCACCTGCCCTTACCCAGCCTGGCTGGTAGGAAAGGTGGTTGTAGTGAGGATCCCAGCAGCTATTAAGGTTGCAAAAGCCCTTTCTCTTTAGAGTGCTCCCCTCACCCCCACCCTGGGGTTTGTTGGGAGCAAGCAGAGGTGTGTATTGCAGGCTAGCCCTTCAGCTTTATACTTATTAGCCTAAGGTCCCAGTGACCCCTGGTGGCCACAGGCCATGCTGCAGCCTCTGGCCCATTTGTCCTCACAGGCTTTTTGACTATCGGGGCCGCCTGTCACCAGTGCCTGTGCCCAGGGCTGTCCCCGTGAAGCGACCCCGGGTCACAGTCCCTTTGGTCCGGCGTGTCAAAACCACCATTCCTGTCAAGCTCTTTGCCCGTTCCACGGCCATCAACACCAGCTCAGCCAAGATCAAGTGTGAGTAACTGATTTTATTCCTAAGTAATTTTTTTCTCATTAGCAAAATAACGGAATTACATTTTTTAATGTTAGAAAATAAAGGAACAAATCTCCCACAGTACTATAGCTCTAACACAACTGAATATTTTCATGTACTTCTAAGAGGAAAGGGCTACATTTGAGGGGGAGGGGCTTGGGTTAGGCACAAAGTCCAGTGCTGTGACATGGAACACAGTGAGGAGATGCTGTCATCGTCCCTCTAGTAAGGGCAGGGCAGATCTGCAGAGGCCCACTGCTCTCCGTTCACTCTGGTGTGCACACGCTGTAGTCAAGCACCCAGGAAATCTGAGTGCAAAATACTTACATTTATACACCTTAGAAGGCAGATATCACTCTGAATCACAGAGGCAAACGCTTGTTCAGGTGCACACAGAGATGCACACCCCATACCTGCATTCTTATCCATCCCCAGTCTCTTTTAGAATTGAGAAGTCGGGTGTGGGGGAGATCCCAGGTTCAGAAGGGCGGTCTGGTCACTGTAGGAATATAACCTTCGGAAAGTCTCAAGGGAAGCCACCGGCAACTATGGCCCTTTCCCTGGCCAAAACATCTGTGGACAAGGACAATTCCTGCCAGTGGCCTATCTCCCTAGTTGACAGAATGGGTGTAGGATCTTGTGTTAGTATCAAGGTGTCAGCCCTGTGTTCTCTCTACTCTCAGTAAAGAGCAGTGAACTGCAGACTATCAAGACAGAGCTGACACAGATCAAGTCCAACATCGACGCCCTGCTGGGCCGCTTGGAACAGATTGCTGAGGAGCAGAAGGCCAACCCAGGTCAGCTTCCAAGGGTTCTTGCCCTGGTTCCAGTGACCAGGGGACCAGGGCAAAGTGTAGGGGGAGGACAGTGTACAGGGCAGGGAGGACCTGTGGCCTCTAATTCTGCCTGGACTCACCATGTTGAGGCCTTGTTTCTGCTGAGGTGCTGTCCCAGGTAGCTGCCACAGGCTGAGTTTGTTCCCCTCTTCGTCACCCCTTCTCTTTCAAGATGGCAAGAAGAAGGGCGACAGTGGCAGTGGCAGTGGCGGCGGCAGTGGCAGTGGCAATGGGAGTGGCGGTGGCGGTGGTAGCAGCAGCGGTGGTGGCAGCGGCAGCGGCATTGGCAGCGGCAGTGGTGGCAATAGCCGACCACCGCCCCCCCAAGAGGATACAGCTTCTGAGGCAGGCACACCCCAGGGAGAGGTACAAGCTCGAGATGACGGCGATGAGGAGGGGCTGCTGACACACAGCGAGGAAGAGCTGGTGAGGGCATGGTTGGAGGGGCTGGGACCCGGGTTAGCATTCCAGGTCACAGCAGGGGAGGGGCACCTCCGAGCTGGTTCCTTTTTCCTAGAGGTTCTAGTCCTGTGAGGAAGGTGAGGAATGAATAGGGAGCAGTGCCTATTTCAGCAGCCAGTCAGAAGTCCCACTGAGAGCTGGGGCAGACCTTTCTTGAGTCTAGGGCCCATTCTAGACTCAGTTTTTCATTTGGATTAGGAGGGCAAGAGTCAGGCTCAGGAAGTCTGTATGGTCTACAGAGTAGGGTGCAGGACTGGGGTTTACTGGGGAAGCCACGGGGAAGTAGGTAACTACTCTACCTGAGGATTTTCTAAAGGCCATTTTTGCCTTAGCATGAAACAGCTTGTCTCATGAGGAAGCAACGGGACCCCCCAGTCTGTTACTGGAATTCTTCACAGTGAAGGCGGAAGGCCATTTGGCAAGGAACTTATATTAAGTGGGAAGGTAGACCAGAGTTTGAGTCTATGAAGTATCTGCTGTGTGCTTACTACTTACTTACTAGGAAGCACTCACTGAGCACCAGGTCCTGTAGTTCACACACTCTCTAACTTCCTTCAACCTTAACAACAAGAGCAAAGTATTATTCTTTCCATATTTTACCCCGTGAGGAAACTGAGACTCAGAGGAGTTGAATAGCTTGCTCAGGGCCTTATAGCTAATAAGGGTTGAGCCTGTATTGGAGACCAGACTTATTCACTAGGTCTAGAACTTTCTTTTTTTCATCACTGCTGAGTTCTGGTGTGAGGACAGATGGGCTCATGGCCACAGTACTTAAGAAGTCCTCCTCATGCCCAGCTCATTTTTCCTCCTTTGAATCTATCCTATATTTCAGGTCACTCTTTTGGGCATAGCAGTCTTCATAAAGGCTATAACAAAGGCTTAGATGTCCCAAAGTTGGGGAGCTCATCAGTCTGCGAGGCTTTGCGCTTACTCCGATCTGAGAAGGCCTTTCTGTGCAGAAACATGCCTCCTGCCATGCATAGAACTTACTTGACTTGACCCTTCTCTTTCCTGAGGGGCCCTGACTCCACCCTCTTGGGATCCCAAACCAGCCTTGTTTAGACCGGTCCCCTAGTCATTTCCCTGGGCTGTCCCTTCCCCTTTCTGAGGTGTCCAGATGTGTGTGCTCTGGGCCTCAGGGCAGGCCTCAGAGCAGGACTCAGAGCTTGCAGTGAGTGATGTGTGGTCTCTTGTTGCCTCCTCCCTATCAGGATCACAGCCAGGACACAGATGTGGAGGATGGGGCCTTGCAGTGAACAGGTACGGCAGTCCTGGTGGACAAAGGTTGGGGTGAAGTGGAGGGCATGCCATGAAGCAGAGTAGGACAGGATGGTGCTATGTCTAGCAACAATGGCCCCTCTATCCCCAGGCATCTTACCATACTTCTTTGTGGTGGGGGCACTGCCTATGGGAGCAGGAGCCATGGTGGGCCAGCCAGGCTCACCCATCAGGGGTTTCCCTGGCACACTGAGCCATGGTGCCTGTCTGTACCCTTGAGGAGCTCTGAGATTCCTCTCTTCTGGAGGAAGATGCAGACGACTCCCAGTGTGAGCAGGAGCACAGGCTGGAGAGCCAGGACAACAAAGAGGGGTGTGGTGAAAGAGGTTATAGGTAGCTGAGCCTGTGCGGGATTGAGGGAGAAACATCTGAGGGAATACCCTTAGCAGAGGCACAGCTCTGGCCATCTTCAGTGTGTGGGAAAGGTCCAGGTCTCCTGTGGCTACATTCCCAGCTCTGCATAGGAAGGAGAGGGAGCTGTTTATCAACAAAGGGTGAGGTTGTGCCAGACTTTGGGGTTGGGACTTGATCTGTCAGGTGGAAATGCCCTGTGTGCCAGGAACTGTCCCACAGGTTGTGATTGTGTTAAAGTTACCATATGTGGAAACTGAAGCACTGAAAGGAGGGGCAAGAGATATCACATATCTCACAAGATCCCAAGCTGATTGGTGGAGCCCATATTTGAACCCAGTTGTATGTAGCCTCAAAGCTCACTCTCTGGCCAGTATTTAGCACCTAGCTCTCCCATCTCTGCTCCTTTCCTTTGGGCGGTGTTCAGAGTTAGGCTTGGGTAGAGCTAGGCCTTGGACAGAGGTGTCTTTCTACATGATACATTCATGCCATGAGATGCTCCGCCAGCAAGGGCTTCCCAGACAGCTTAAGTTTAGGAAATTCCACATATGCAGCTTTTCCTCTTGGAGCTTCATAGTTTGTTTTACCGGGGAGACCTATCTTGTTAATCCTATTCACAAGTGAAATGCAGGTACTCAGGTGAGGACATGGAGGTTAGAGGAGGGAGAGAGACTTGCCCAAAGTTGCATGGCCAGAAAATCATCAGGCCAGAGCGCAGGCATGTTCTCTGTCTGCAAGTAGCAAAAATCATTCTGCCCTCACTTCTTCCCAATCCCTGTTACCAAGAGCACAGGGGACTTTTCTTCTCAGCCTTTTAGTCTCTCATTTATCTCTTTCTCAGCCTGACAGGAGTGATGGCCACTGGCAGAAGAAGGGCGTGCACTGTACCAGGCCTCAAGCTGGGCACCCACCCCTGGATGCCACCCCAGCGGGTCCCAGAGGAGAGTTGACAGCAGGCGCCTGACCCCATGCATCCCAACCAGTGCTACATCCTCTGCAGGTGGAGTTACTGGCCTCCCCTCCCCACATAACTTCCCTATTGTCACTGCCCAGACCAGAGGACAGGGCACAGAGTTTTCCCACACTCTGCCTCCCCTCCCCAAGACACTCCTAGGCTTGGGGTTTTTCTATAGGTTTGGTGAGGGGTGGGGGGCACAGGAGGGGACCCTGACAATAAAGAGATTGGATCCCTACTTCCTCTGAGATGGGATGGTTTGTGTTTTCTCATGAAGGTACCCTGGCCCTCCTACCTAACCAGAAAACAGATCTGCTGTAACCTCTCCTCTTTCCTCCTCCTCTCTTACATGTCAGGGACCATTGTTTAGGGTGCCTAGTACTGATCCACCTGGACCTTAATTTCCACAGCTAAAATGGGGATGGAAAGCACCAGTAGGGTTGTTGGGGAGGGTGAGATGTGCCAGTGCTCACGGGAGCACCTTGGTGGCTAAAGTGCCAAGTGATTGGTCCAGGCCTCGGTTTCTCACTAAGTCTGGTCTTTCCCAGCTCTAAAATGATTCTAGAACCCATTGTTTCTTCCCTTTCTCTGTTCTCATTTAAGACACTATGTTTTTTCTGTTGGACTTTATGCTTTCACCAGCCTCTTAGTCTCCAGCTTCTCCCTGCCCCATTTCTCACTGGCCACCACAGTGTTATATCTGAATTGTGTCCCTTCCCTGTGTAAAACCCCTTACTGACTACTCACCATCAGGATAAAACAACAGCTCCTGAATATGGGGTACATGATGCTGCTTGCCCTGGTCTCTCTTATTCTTATGTTACCACACACAAACCTTATACTGCAGCCACACAAAACAAGTGCTTCACACTCTTAGGCAGAAGAAATAGAGCCCTACTTCATTTACCTCACACAGTAGGGTTTGACATCAGCATACATGTGGCCTGTCTGCATTTATCTCTGTTCTCTAACTGGCCAGGTTCCTTTTAACTCCACTTCTGTCTCAACTTCACCCCTCGCTTCCTTTCTCTTTATTTTCCCACAAATTCTCTACATTCGAGCTTCCCAAGAGAGAATCAGCTGCCACAGCAATTATATTTTGAGCCAGTCATAGATTACAGGTACCTTCCCTTGTCCACTGTACTGGGCGATACAAGTGTGGCTGGCCACTTAGGCTGGCCTCATTGATATAGGGCTGTGGTGAACAGGCACATACTCTTGCTCCTTCTTTTTCTACCTGGGAAGTATGCACTCATCATAAGGTGCTATTCTAGTGCCCTCATCTAACCTGTAAGAAGTCTCAGAGATCCAGACCTGGGGTGAAAAATAGCCCTTTGGAAATGGGCTGGGCCCTGGCCCAGCTTGGTCAAAACAAAAGACTTCAGTCTGGAAAGATGAAGAGGGTGTCCTGAGGAATGTCCTGGGTCTACAGGGAATGTCCTTTCCCCCCGAAAAGCCCTCAGTGGGACATAATACCTACCATCCTTGAACCCACAGTCTTTCCTTGCTATCTAGAATGCCAAAGCTCAAGTCTGGCAGACCTACTTGCACACTTGGCAGATGTTTGTGTCCTCCATCTGTACGAGGTTGGGAACCACTACTCTACTAGGGCTTGGTCAGAAGCTAAAGGAGGTGTTTTGGATCCTTGGTGAACCTCACACTGAGGGCTGGTACTATACTCCTGTGTTCCCAGAGGCTAGTGCTATGTGCCCATTGTACTGTAATAACATTCCCAGGCTCTACAAGGCCCTACTCGGTAGTACTTTACTGGGGCATTTTTCAAAGCCTGAGGGACGGGAAGAAAAGCAAGGGCTATGGGCTTCGTAGTATGGGAGGCCTAGAGAGCCATAAGATGAGCAAGAAAGACCCCTTTCAGGGCAGGAAGCATCTGGTATACCCAGAGGCCCTAATTGCCCTGGCACCAGAACATATCCTGGACAGAATGGTATGCCTATCCTGGCACCTCAGGGGATATTACAGTTGTACCCTTGAGGGGAGGTTCATAACCATAAAACCCTGAATACATATTCCTGCCCTTCCCTTGTCTAGGGCCCTGAAAATCATCTCCCATTCCATTGCTCAAAAGTTTTTATTTTTCTAACCTGAAAACCAAAAAGAAATGAAGAAATGTGATACCAGCTTGTGCCCACAGGACTAATTCAGTAGATGTTTTCAATATCTAAAACCTCATGTGTGATTATGGCAGCCATTTGAAGGAATGCCACAGCCAGTGGGTTTACTGGATTGTGGTCCTAGGCAAGTTTTTTTCTTTGCCAGGTCTCAGTTTCCTCATCTGTATGAGGGATTGGCCTAGTTTAGGTATTACATGGGCTTTTATATCAGTTTTTAACTGTTGTGTAACAACCACCCTGAAATTTACTACCTTTCATAAACATTTATTAGCTTGAGTCTGTGGCTTGGCAATTTGGGTTGTGCTCAGCTGGGCGGTTCTTCTACTTACTTGAGCTCTGCCGTGGGTCAAGTGAGCTGGCACATTGCCTGGGGCCTAGTTGCTCCCAGGTAACCTGACTTATCAAGTGGTTGGCTGGACAACAGGGCCAGCTGGGCCACATGTTCCCAGCATCCAGCAGACAAGGCAGAGTAAGCCCCAATACACAAGTGCTTTTTAAGCTCTTGTTTGTGTCATGTTTGTAGGGTTCAGTTGGCCAAAGCAAGTCACGTTGCTAAGCCAAAATTCCTCTTAATTTGAAGAGCTTCAAAATATGGCCATAGTTTATTTTTAGTCTGTCTCAGACCTAGTTTCACTTGCTGCTTCAGAACATTTATTAGTAGCTTCTAGAGCACTTTTTGAGGATTTAGAGCAGTGTTTTAGGCTATTAGGAAATAGTAATGTGATAATTTGGTAGTTTGTTTATTGGTAAGGAGTTGAAATGTGGTTGTGTGTCAGGTATTAACCAGTGCTGACCAGGTCTTATCCTGTCCCATAAGGACATTATCTGCTGTACAGTGGGCCAGTTGATGAGACCACAGAAATACAGAAGGTGGTAGAGAGGGCCAAAGCTTCTGGGCCAGGTGTCCTGGGTTTGAATCCCAGTTGGGCCATTGATTAACTTCAAGTAAATCAAAATCCCTCTGCCTGTGGCCACATTCTTCATAATAAAATTTTTCCACAGTAATGGTAAGCCACTTCCTGAATATGTAAAAGGCATATTTTATACTTACTTAACCTCCATAACCACCCCTTTAGGTCAAGTAGTGTGAACTTCTAGTTACAAGTTAAAAGAAACCGAACTCAAACCTCCTTGGGGAGGAGGCAGTTTAGTTTCACAAATTGAAAAGTCCAGGGCCTGTAAGGATGCAGGGGCACAAGGGGGAATCCCCAAAAGGGAAATACAGTTCTGTTGCTGGAAAAAAGGAGGCTTGGACCAACAGAAACAACATGTCTTCATTGTGTGATTTCATTTTATAGACATGTAAAATTTTATGGGTTTTATGAATGTGGAGCTTCTAAACATGGCCTCCTTGACAAGTAGTATCTATATGCTCATTCCTTCTTTCACCTGGACTCAGTGACTGATCAAGCAATGCTCTCCTAGTTTCCCAGCAGTGTGCATTTCATGTGTCTCGGGACCCAGCTACCGCGCTATGAAGAAACCCAGGTTATGTGGAGAAGCTGTATGTACACATGTTGTAGCTGACAGCCAGTACTATCTGCCTCGCAGACCTCAGTCTAGCACCATGAGGGATAATAATCAAATAATTGTAAGCCACTAAGTTTTGGAGTGAGTTTATATCAACAGAACACAGACTTCAAAAGTGGTTATGTAGCTTGTTCTACTTTAGGGGGATTGAGTTACGAGTGTAGACTTTGTGTTGAACTGAGTTCCAATCCAGACTATTTGTTATGTGACCCCAGGCAAGTCACTTAACCTCTCTGAGCCTCATTCTTATTTGAAAAACAAAAGAACACATTCTTGTATAATAATAAATAAATGATGGTTCTTACTACCTAATCCAGATTCAGATAATTTTTCTCTTTAGAAATAAGACTAAAATTTCCTCTTTTTCCCTACTTATATTTATACTCACCTTGTTCCCAAATGTATTTCAGGCAGCTTACAAAGAGAAAGTCGGTAGAATATTATAAAAATGAGGCAAAGGAAGACAATTGCAACAAAGCCTTTTTGTTGGTGCTCAATGTCTATGTGTTTAATTTACAGTCAGGAGCACTGTATTGGTCTGATCTCTAGGCCCATGGAGCAAGCCCAGCTAGCCCTCTTGCCTGTATGAATGGACACCTCTCTTCTCTGACTGGTGAGTGGACTCCTGGTCCACACGTACCCCTCCCTGCACCTCTGCCTCTGTATCACCTGTGGGGGGCCAGGTGATCAGGGCAAGTGCATGGGGTTTGGCTTTTTTGGGTACACAGTACAGAAGCTTACAGGGTTACTGATTCTCACTTTCTGAACTGGCCCCATCTCTTCCCCATCCTCCACTCCCTTCTAACAGTAAGGCCCCTTTTACCTTTCAAACCCCACCTTCAGCATTTCTTCTATACCCTTCACCCCAATGTACAGCTCCCAGAGTACACAGAGAATTGTCTAAGGCTCAAGGCTGTCTTATTCATCCTTGTCCATAAGGGTTTTCAAAAGGAATGTGTGACTTGGTCAACTAAATAATGATGGAGCAAATGCAAACAATCCAGCCTTTCTACTTTTGTGTTCTTAATTACACTCCACCCCTACAGCATTAGGCTCTATAGAAAGAGTGATATAACATACACATGTATATGTTTGCATTTCCTGGGTGCTCCAAGTACTTTAACACAGACCGAATTATCTGATTTAAATCTCACTACACTCCCACTGAGTTGGAGATACTCATCCCATTGATACAGACAGGGAAATTGAGACTTGGGTGGTATGCCATTTGAAGAGGCAGAGGCAGGATGCAAACTTGGGAAGTCCCTCTTCATATGCCCTGTCATAAACAACTTTGACATCCTCTTCTGATTCTTGTGACAACAGTCTTTCTGGCTCTCTTCCCCTGCATAGTTTCTTTTGCTGACTCTTCCTCTTAAGCCAGCACCTCTCTACCTTCTTCAGTTTTGCTGTATAGCTACCTGGCTGACCAAACCCATGGCTTCAGACTCCAGACTCATGCCTCCATAATTCCTACCCCTTAGTCCTCCCCCAGGAGTATCAGGGTATATATACGTACAGATACCCCATCTGATAGCTGCACTTGGGTATGTATCACTGCCCACCCTGTCACTCA